GGTCCAGGAGTCGTTAGAAAGAACGGTAAGTTAAAAGAAGTTTTGGGGATGTGCACGGGGAATTGAACTGACACCGTTTGCGAAAGAACTGTCATGTGTAGCGGTATTTCCCAGCTAAAAATATGTAAATGCGCTCTATCAAACTGTATACACTTAAAAATGATAATTTCCAGATGTCACTCTTCACAATGTTCGCTGAAGCCACGCACATCGTCACTGAAGAGGCCACCGGAGCCATCAATGCAGTCAAAATGACATTCGTCGACCCATCGAACAATGTACCGCCGAGAATCATTCCCGAGTACCCAGCCAGTGAGAAGCTCGTGAAACCCGTGGAGCCGGAGACATTGCTCGGAATGGAGGAGGACGCTGAGGACGGAAGCGACGGAGAGCTCGCGAAAAAGAAGCGTCGTGTGACGGCGTTCGTGAGAAGGGACAGCCTCCTGGACTCGACGAACTTCTTCCCAAGTCCAAACGCGATTCAGAAGCGGAGAGAAGCGCCGATCGATGAGGAGGAAGACACTGAAAACTAAATTGTTTTATTTTTCGCTTCATTTATTATCGCTTTCATGTACAATAATTTTTTTCCTTTTTTTTCGATCTGCTAGCTGGTAATGATAACTAGTGATCTTTTTTCATGATTTTTTATTCACTTTTAAACGCACAATACATTTTATTTAATTTTAAGCTGTATTTTTAGTTGTTAAAAAATCTTTTTTTTTGTTATCGCAGAAATAGGGCAACAGCTGCGATGTTCCATTGATCGGCACCACGACACGGCATGTTGACAGCGGTGATCAAGTCGGAACGCTCACTGGAATTGTACAGCGGCACCTGGATTTGCTCGCCAGTGATCGTCGAAGAGCTGTCAGAAGTCCATGCCAAGTAGAGGATCGGCGCCTGTACGTAGGCAGCACTGGATACGGTAGTCTCACGGAGGAACGAATCGAAAGTGGCACCTTGGAGTAGAAGACCCTGCACCTGGACACACTGTTTCGGTGGAAGTTGGGATGGTGTCCAGGCGGAAGAGAGAATCAGTTGATCCAACGGAATTTGGAGTTGTCGAGACGTGGTTTGTCTCAATGCATTCAAGAAGATGTTCGGATAGAAGAGATCCGAAAAATCGATGGGAGAGGAGAGGATCGACGAGGATTTGGAGGCTTCGTAGAGCTGCAAAAAAATCAAAATTTCAAAAAATTCAAAAAAAATCTGAAATTTTAAAAGTTCAAAAAAATCTGAAAAATTTTAAAAAATTCGAAATTTTTGAAAGTCGGAAAATAGCAAAAAATTCAAAATTTTCGAAATTTTGAAAAAAATAATTTTCGAGGCAAAAAATATTTTTCGAATCTTGTCAAAAAAAAATCTAAAAAAAGTTCTTAAAATCACAATTTTTTTCAATTTTTTTGAGTTTAAAATTTTCAAATTTGGAGCCAAAAATTCAAATTTTCAAAGAAATATTTTTTTTTTTGAAAAAAGCCCTTTTTTTAATATAAAAAAATCGATTTTAATTCGAAAAATTCAAATTTTCGAGCCGAAAAACCGGAAAATCCAATTTTGATCCTAAAATCGAAATTTCAAAATTTCCAAAAAAATTGTTTTTTTGAATTTGAAAAATTTGTCTGAAAATCAAAAATTAAAAGACTTGAAAAAAATTTTTTCAATTTTTTTTGAGTTTTTAAATTTTCAAATTTTTGAGCCAAAAATTAATTTTTCTTATTTTTTTCAAATTTTCAAAAATTCAAAATTTCCCCTAGAAAATCCCAAAACCCCCCACCTGCATCGTTCCCCGCGTCTTCTTCACCACCGCGTTCAAAAAATCCGCGGGGTCCGTTGGCCCCGCCCACAATCGATCCCATTCATCAGGTGTCTGTTGAAAGATCAACGATTGGATCGTCTTCTGAGTGACTCCAGATGCCAACGATGGATTCTTCATGGATTTGGCGACGTCTCCAATGCTTTTATGGAGGTTTCTGATCAAAATCAGTGCGTTTATCGTCTCCAAACACAAGACCTCATTGATTGGATCCGACGATTTTGATGTATTTTTTGGCAGCTCTTTTTTTGGGAGATCATCCGATTGACACAATTTTCTCCATAGCGAAATTATTTGGGATATCGATTCGGAGGTGTTATTCGAAGAGAGCGCATTTTTCGAGTCGCCCAGTGCTGAAAAGATTTAGTGGGCGTGGCCTAGAAATCCAAAATTCTGGTTTAGAATTTTAGAATTGTGTTTCTAGGCCATGCGATTCGAAATTTGAAAATCTAGGGCACGTTTTTTTGATCGATGGCCTAGGAACCCAAAATATTGGTTTCCTAGGGCACTACCTCCAACATTTGGGTTTCTATCTCCAAAATTGAGATTTGGTGGCCTAGAAGACTTATATTATGACCTAGAAAACCAAATTTGAAGATGGTGGCCCAGAAATCGAAAAATAGGAAATGGTGGCCTAGGAATCCCAGATTTTAACATGGTGGCCTAGAAATCCAGAATTCTGGTTCAGAATTTTTGAATTGTGTTTCTAGGTCATTCGATTCGAAATTTGGAATTCTAGGACACGGTTTTTGATCGATGACCTAGAATTCTGGAAAGCTGAGATTTGGTGGCCTAGAAATCTTATATTATTAGGTTGGCGGGAAAGTCTTTGTCACTCTGTTTGTTTAATCACTGTTCTCGTATATGGAGGCTGTGTATGATATCGACTTTAGTGAATAACAAGGTGATAAGAACCTTCCATATAAACAAGTCCCCATCTCCTTCCCTGCTCCTCATCTGTAATTGAAACGATATGTTTGTTCCCACTGCTATTCACATCAGACATGTTTTGATTTACCTCTTCCTATCTCACACCACGATGAAGGATTCGGAAACTTTCTTGAAGAATGTGTACAACACACATGCCCCTCACTACAATACTATTCGCAATTGGTTCCATCGTTTCGAAAAAGATGACTTCTCGCTCGATGAAAAGGATCGCTCTGGGAGACCCCGTGAGTTGGATTTGGACAAGCTGAAGCACGCATTGCAATCGGATCCATTTCAATCTAGCCGTGAACTAGCTGTCACATTCGGAGTTCACCATAGCACAGTCCTTGAAGGTTTGAAGTCTCTTGGAATGAGAAAACTTTTTGGTCGATTCATACCTCATCACCTGACTCAAGCCAACCTTGACCGCCGAGTCGACGATTCGATTACTCTTCTCACTCTCCACGCGGGCGATCGATGGCTGGACCGGCTAATAACCGGAGATGAGAAGTGGGTCTTCTACGATAATCACCACAGGAAATCCCAGTGGGTTGGAGAAGGAGAGAGCCCACAGGATGTCCCCAAACCCGACCTTCATCCGAAAAAAGTTATGCTCTCTGTGTGGTGGGGAGTGGACGGCCCCATCTACTGGGAACTTCTGCCCGAGGGCAAAACAATAACTGGAGACCTCTACACTACTCAACTACGAAACCTCAAGAAAGCAGTCGACCGTTCGGCCCTGAAAGACAAGAAAGTGTACTATCAACATGATAACGCTCGCCCACATGTTTCGAAACAAGTGAAGCAGGAGCTGATGGGATATGGATGGAATGTTCTCCCTCACCCCCCGTATTCTCCTGATCTTGCTCCTTCCGACTATTGGTTATTTGGCGATATGACACGTGCCTTCGAAGGAAGAAGCTTCAATTCCCGTGGAGCGGTCGAAGCGGCACTCAAACAATACTTTGCCTCACGCCCGGCTGGATTCTACCGCAATGGAATCCATAAATTGAGGGAACGTTGGAGACATGTTGTTGATAATGATGGACAATATAATTAATTATTCGGTTATTTTTTCTTTGAGAAATAAACTATTGAAAAAGTGACAAAGACTTTCCCGCCAACCTAATATAAAATGGGGCCTAGAAACCCAAATTAGGATATGGTGGCCTAAAAACCCGAACTATGGAAATAGCGGCATAGAATGCAACTTTGCATGGTTCTAGGCCACTACCAAACTCGGGTTTCTAGGCCAGCATCTCCCAAGTTTGGGTTTCTAGGCCACTATTTCCTAGTTTTGGATTTCTAGTCCAAAAGGTTCAAATTTGGGTTTCTAGGCCATTTATGGATACTCTACATCAAGAAACTTTAAACTTGGGTTTCTAGGCCACGTGTAATAGTTTTGGGATTGGTGGCCTAGAGATTTTCTAGGCCACCATATTGATTTTCAAACGAACCTAGTGTTCGTATCGATGAAATCGTTCGATCGGCTTCTACGATTTGCCATGAATATTTGATATTTTCGGGAAGACCAAAGAGGAATGGTTCGTCGACGGATGGGACCGTCTTTGAGATGTGCGAGATGTATTCCTGAAGAAATTTGAATTTTTTATTGAGAAAGTGCGCTCTATTGACAATTAACGCGCTCCATTCGTTGTTTGTTCGGTGGAGCGCGGTTGAGCGGTGCGGCAAAATTTTCATCGATTTTTTCTCGACAGAAAAAAGAATGAAAGCGCGCTCCGTGGATAATTTTTTGAATAATTTTCAAAAAATTTAGCATGTGCGCTCCATTGAGATCGTACCTGAACATTAGTACTCGCTGGAATATCGATTCCTTTCACCAATTGCTGGCCAGTGCGCCCATTAATTTTGTCATCGGAAAACAAAATATTTAAATAGGATTCGAGAACTTTCGCATCGAAATCATTCTCGATTCGACCGCCGTAGATCACGAACTTCAGAATTCCACGGACGAATTCCCAATCGGATTCTGGAAGAGAAAATGGGGTTTTAGTGAAAAGTTAGGCCATGAGAATTTTGAATTTTGAAAAAAAATTTTTGAGGTAATTTCAAAATATCGTGAAACCTGTAATAGAAGGGCCCCCACTTGTCAAGTTTGAGCTTAATTATCTCGGCTCCTTTAAAAGATATCGAGAATTTGTCAACTGATAAAATGTTTGTGATATTGTGATAAACAATTTATCAGTTGACAACTTTTTTATATCTTCGACAGTAAGCGAGATAATTTGACTCAAAGTTGAAAGTTAGAGAGCCCTTCTATTACAGGGATTACGGTATCTGATTATTTGGAATTTTAGAATTTTAGATTCTGAAATTCTGAAATTTTAAAAGATTTTCAGATTTTTAGGGTTCTTAAGATTTTCGAATTTGACAATAGAATTGATTTCAGATTCTTGGATATTTAAAGATTCTCAGATTTTGAGATTCTGAGAAAACCTGAAAATTTCAAAATTCGAAAAAAAACACATTTTTCAGAATTTTTAGGATTTTCATCCAGATTTTCAAATTTTCTAGAAAATCTGAAAAACCTGAAATTAAGAAAAAAAGAAACTTTTTCAGATTTCTAGAGTTTAAGATTTTTGAGATTTCAGTTTTTTAGTCTTTTCATATTTTTAGATTTTTGACGATTTTTAGGATTTTCAGTTTCCTATTAAACTCTGAAATTCAGAAACTCTGAAATTCAAAAATTTTAAAATTCAGAAATTCTAAAATTCTAAAATTCTAAAATTCTAAAATTCTAAAATTCTAAAATTCTAAAATTCTAAAATTCTAAAATTCTAAAATTCTAAAATTCTAAAATTCTAAAATTCTAAAATTCTAAAATTCTAAAATTCTAAAATTCTAAAATTCTAAAATTCTAAAATTCTAAAATTCTAAAATTCTAAAATTCTAAAATTCTAAAATTCTAAAATTCTAAAATTCTAAAATTCTAAAATTCTAAAATTCTAAAATTCAGAAATTCTAAAATTCTAAAATTCTAAAATTCAGAAATTCAGAAATTCAGAAATTCGAAATTCAAAAAAAAATTTCTGAAATTCTTCAAATTGAAAGCCACTCACTATTCTCAGTCAATTGCTCTACAAACGACTTGGCAACTCTCACATCACTAGCTGAGAACTCATAAAATTTGGTCCATCCCTGTGGAATGAAAGTTCGTCTCTCCTGAAGAAGGGCATGAAGCCAAGCTAACACAAATATCGATTGACACGTCACAACACTCCGCCCATTTCGATCGATTTGTATATAGGTCCGCAGCAGGTTGTTCCGGACGCCTGGCGGCGGTTCAAATGTGATTTTTAGCGATTGCTGGAGCATCATTGAGGGGAAACGGGCGTCTGCTTCTGTAGTCAACCATAGGCGGAAGTTCTCGTGGGGCGTTGTGAGGGAAAGGTGCTGGAAAATTATGTTATGAGTTGGATTGGGCATGGAATGAGCTTCAAAATGAGCCTAAACACGGCTAGGATTGCTTGATTTGGGATTACTGTAGTTTTCGTGGTGGGACCCGAACAAAGGCTTGTTTATACTCATTTTGAAGCTCTAAACAAGCCAAATTCAAAAATATATGTTTCCTTCAAATTGGCAGAATTTTCAGTGAGTTACGGTAGTTTTCCATTCAAAAAAACTGTCGTTCAATTTGAAACTACCGTAACAGTGAAAATTCTATTATTTCAGAAGAAAATTGTATTTTTGAATTTGGCTTGGGATGAGCTTCTAAATGAGCCTAAACACGACCTGTCTAGACTAGTTTTGATTTTTTTTTGGATTACTGTAGGTTTCGTGGTGGGACCCATTTATTTTGCAATTTAAAAAAAAATATGGACGTGTTTAGGCTTGTTTCAAAGCATTTATCAAGCTGAATAAGAATTGTTAAAATTCAAATGAAGAAAATTGAAAATACCTGAATTATGACGAAAAAATCGTTTTCGAATATTTTTCAAAAAAATCTTAAATTTCTGTAATTTCTGGATCACAGTAGTTTTCGTGGTGGGACCCGATGTGAGCCAAACCTAGGCTTGTTTAGGTTCATTTTGAAGCTCCAAGCATGAGAAATTCAAAAATGTTTGTTTCTTTGAGAATAGTAAATTTCTCCCCGAGTGACAGTAGTTTGAAACTCAAAATCTTTTTTTTTTAGTTTGAAACTACCGTAACTCAGTGGAAACTACACCATTTGGAAAGAAATGTATATTTTTGAGTTTCTCTTGTTTGGAGCTTCAAAATGAGTTTAAACAAGACTAGTTTTGGTTCCCATCGGGCCCCTCCACGAAAACTACAGTAATCCAACAAAAATTCAAAATTGACCTAGATAAGTCGTCTTTAGGCTCATTTTGAAGCTCTTAACGAGCTAAATTCAAAAATATATGTTTTGAAGGCTTCAGCAAGCTAAACGGGCTCCTAAAACGTTTTCAAAAAGCCTACCTTAAAAATCGACGGGACCGCTTGAAGCATCAAATGTAAATTGTTCAAACACAACCATTCCCCATTAGCGGCCGAGTTCCGAATTGCTTCATACGCGGCTTGCTCCTGTCCCTGTCCCATGGAAATCGAGTGGTACGGTACTTTAAGAGCGCTGGCGAGCTCCGCGAGCTCCTGGGATGGGTCTGCTCCATCGGCAAGGATAAAGAGGATGGGTTCGGAGGATTCGGATTCTGAGAAGATGTGACGGAGTTCAAAAGCTGGTGGATTGATTGAGGGGATGTCTGGAAATTTAAAGAATCAGAAATTACTGAAAATCTGGAAGCTGAGCAATCTGATTCTCCAAAATCACCCACTCAACGTCTTGAGCACAAAATCCATCAAACAATTATACAACCGTTCTGGTCTTGCGGCCTGTATGAAAAGAACCTTCTGGAAATGTGTCATTTTCACTTCAACATTCCTCGGAAACGCCGTTTCGCACTGGAGCATCTTTGCGAATTCGCTCCACGTCGCGTCGTCGCCAATTTGGAAATTATTGAAGAGACTCGGAAGATGGTTTCGGATTCTGGCTAGAGATGGAAGACGATCTGGAGCAATCCAGGACACTCGGATGCCACTAAGATCCGTTGATTCGTCTACGAGAACCCCTGTAATAATAAGGTTGGACTTTAGAAGTAAGGAGACTTTGGGTAGCCTAAACTACAGTAATCCAATTTTAAGTTAACCTTGTACTACAGTAATTCAATTTCAAGATACCCCCTTTTTAAGCTCTTAAGAAGCCCTGGAAGCTTAGTTTGGTAAGTAAAAGCTTGTTTAAAGCTACAAAATGAGCCTGAAGCAAGCCTTGGTTCGGGTCCCACCACGAAAACTACAGTAGTCTGATTTCAAGCAAACCTAATTCTGTTTAAAGATATTTTACAACTCCTGGAACATCAGTTTGACCATATCAACAAAATTTAGCTTGCTGAGAGCTTCTTATCTAGACTTATCTAGGTCAACTCTGCTTTTTAGTTTGATTACTGTAGTCTTTGTGGTGGGAGCCAATATGAACTAAACCTAGGCTTGTTTAGGCTCATTTTGAAACACTAAACAAGCTAAATTTTAAAATATAGGTTTTAATTTAAGCTTGTCTCATTTCGAGCTCCAAAATGAGCCTAAACACGAATATTTTTGCTCAAAATTGTGTCCCACCACGAAAACTACAGTAATTCGATTCGAAGCAAACCTAGGCTTGTTTGGGCTCATTTTGAAGCTTATTTCAAGCCGAACTTAGTTATCCACATTATTTCATACCATAACATACCTGTGAACAGTTCCCACTCTTTTGGTTGAAACATTTTCGGTTGTGTTGCATTTATGAAGGCGACAGCGAACATCAAACGGTCCTGACGGAAGATTCCACGAGAGATATGATAGAATACGGTAAGCTGCATTTGACGAGCAAGGCTTTCTACACGAGTTGAGCTTTTGTCCTAGAACAAAAATTCCTTATTTTTATTGGTCTTTTTTTTCAAAAATTTGAAAATTGCCAACTTTGAAGCCCTACAAAAGTAGTCCAACATTTTTCAATTGCTCTGAAATTTGGTAAGTATACTGAACGAAAATAGAACTTTAATTTTGTAGTTGACAACTTTTTTGTGCAAACGCGCCCTAGCGAGATACGGCGCAAAGAAGGCGGCTAACCTCTAATTGAAGGGAGGTAGAGGTGGCGGCGGCGCCGTGGGCCACCGCGACGCTTCTTTGCGTCATATCTCGCTAGGGCGCGTTTGCACAAAAAAGTTGTCAACTACGAAAATGAAGCTCGATTTTTGTTTAGTATACACTGAAATTTTCAGACAAATCGAAGCTTTTTGGATTACTTTCGTGGGGCTTCAAAGTTGGGGTAGCAGTCGACTCTTTGGCGGCCGATCGAGATACCGTAGTCGTTGTACACCATCACGCAAAAGTGCACAGAATTCTTACCTCACACGACTTGATAGTCTTTTCAAAAAGCTTCATTATCGTGTTGACACTATAATTGTACATTGAATTGTAGTACTGTAGATTGGAGAACGAGAAGAAAAGGCTTGAAGTGAATTGACTCAACGGCACATAGATTTCTTTTTGCTGTAAAACGGTTACTGTAAGAGATATCAAAAATCTGTCAACTGATAAAATATTTATCATAACATGAGAAATATTTTATTAGTTGAGATCTTTTTAATATCTCTTATAGGAACCGAGATAATTGAGCTCAATTATCTCGGTTACTGTAAGAGATATCAAAAATTTACCAACTACTAAAATGTGACACAAACTACGACAAGTTCTTTATCAGTTGACAACTTTTCGATATCAAGACCTACCGTAGTCAATTCCTTGTGCAATTGCTCACTCTCCACAATACTCTTACTAATAATCTCGGCACTCTCTTTCGACTTGTTCAACGAATCCAAAAGTGCAGTGTTCTCCAGAAGATTTCCCTGTGACGTAGCCAACTGTTGGAGCAACAACTGCTCCAAACCCTCAAGCTCCAATTTTTTGAGCTCAGCGTCTCGGAGAAGACTCGATGATCGCTCTTCTAGCTCCGGCTTTTCAAGATGGATAGCGACGTCGAGAAGCTGAGCAGAGAGAGCACTTATCGTAGTTGTAAAGTTCACAATATTCAATTGGGCAGATGCATTGGGTCTTATTTCAACTTTATCGTCTCTGGTGCAAATAAAGATTTTGAAATCGGAGTTATAGTCAATCGATTTTCCACCAAAGGAGATGACTTGACGTGGTCCCTGACTTGATAAATCCCTTCTTAGAATCGGAATCAGTGCTGCATCGAACTCCACCACATCTTCTACGATTATAGTTTTTCCAAATCGAATCGCCAACTCGATTTGAGTCATAAGGTCCGGTTGAGCAGCTTTGAATGTTTCAGATTTATCCAGAAACTTGGCCAGGAACGTTGACACTTGTCCAGATGGATCGATGATTAAAGGCACATGCTGTGAATTGAACATTATCGATCCGTTTTCTAGGGAGAGTTGATCTGCTGGTAGTCCTTTGGTTTTCCAGTTTAGTTGCTCGGTTTCCAGGCTGGCAAAGGAGAGAGGGTTGAAGCCAGAGGGCATATTGAATGTTTTACACATGGATTTTAGTAGTGATTTTCTATCTTTTTCTGAGCAACCACCAAGATAGGTGAGGAACGCAGAGGTGATAAGAGAGCACATTTCTATCTGAAAATACGTTTGAAATTGATTTTGGATCTTTTATGGCCTGAAAACCAAAGGACGGGTCGTTGACGGACGGCCGACGGACTATTGGAACCTTTTGGAAAATCTGATTTATCTCGGTTACTGTAAAAGATATCAAAAAGTGGTCAACTAATAAAATGTTCAGCATAACAAGGAAAGTATTCTAACAATTGACCAATTTTTGATATCTTTCACAGGAACCGAGATAAATAAGGTCGAAGTTGACTGTTTAGAAAGCCACATATAGTTGTTTTAATTCGTATCTCTCTGCCTACAGGACCCTTACCTTTGACTGCTCCTCTACCAATGTCTCAATTTGCACTTTCCATCTCTCAAACTCGCCGGAAAGACTCTCAACAAGTGTGCCAGCTATCCGAATCGTGTCTTGTTCTCGATCCAAATCCACTTTTATCTGCGTCGCTTCTTTCATCAGCACTTCGAATTTCCGTTTCAACTCCCCAACCACTTCGTCAACACTTTGCAAGCCTTTGGATAGATTTTCCATTTGTTTTTCAGCTTTTTTGAGATTTCTGGAATTTTTTTTAATCATATGAGGCGACCCTCTCCCACTCCTGGAAAAACGCAAAATCCGCCACCCTCCTCTACACCTTGCGGTGCTCCAACCTTTGTCTGCCGCGTGGCGCAGTGGCTAGCGCGCCTGTTTTGCAATCGGAGAGTCGCGGGTTCGACTTCGCGCTTGGCTCAAAACCCTTTTTCTTCCTTTTTTTCTTAAAAAAACCCACTTTATCAGCTTATTCTTTTCATTTTCCAAAGGAGAAATCTTTTCCAAAATCTTTGAGTACTCCAAATTCGCCTTTACCCATGCGGCCAATGGTGCAGCCGCTGCCGATGCTCGTTTAGCGTTCTATAAATTTTTCTTTGAATTAAAATCTGTTTGTCCAGATGTCTACCACCTACCGCTTCCTCAAAAGATGCAGACTTTTGTTTGACAATAGCCGTCACCTTCTTGTGAATCTCGCTTGTGATTCGATTCGCATCGAAATTCATTATATCATCCTTCACCCCGCTTTTCGACAAGAATCTGAAATCTATCTGTGTATCTGAACATCCCGGATGTCCTCCTTACTTTCTCATAGCCTCCCAAGACGTATCCAGAATACCCATGAATACTAAAACGGCTTGTAGAATGTCTCTCACGGCTTCAGGAGGTGCACGAAGACTTCTGATCTCACTGAGCGACTCGGATTTGATCGATCCAACAGCTCGACGGGCTTCCTGGAAATTTAATTTGAGATTTCGGAATTCCAGCCAAAAGACTACCCTAGCTCGTGAAGCCAAGCACACCTGAAAAGTAGCGGAAACGCCCGCGCTTATCTACGCCTTTTGGTGTGCTAGCTCGGCTGCGGCTGTTGTCTTTTGGGCAATAGTTAAGGGCTTGCCGTCTTTTGAGCGAACTATGAGCACCTTTTGGGCGAAGTTGGGGCGCCACCGTCTTTTGAGCAGACTTTGGGCGCCTTTTGGGCGAAATTTGATGGTAATCTCTGTTGGCAAACTGTTGATAAAAATATTACATGTAATGAATTGTGTGTGAGTTTGAATGAATTGTTAAGTTGCCAATAAAAACATGACATTATATTTTGAATGTATTTTTTAAAAGATATTTTGCTTTCTCAGTTTTAATTCATAATTGATAATTTATACTCAGAACTTGAAATTTAAAGTTTCAAAAGTTGTGGACAATTTCTCGGTTGAAAAAAGTGATGCTGATTGCGAGAAAACATCATAAAATGTATGCCCTCTAAAAAGTCAACTGTTGGTGTCTGTAAAAAGACATAAAACTCGTATTTGATATACAATCTCTAGACCAAAGCCCAAACGGACTACCGTATTTCCCCTAATAGAAGACCTCCCAAACCGTCAATTTTGAGCTCAATTATCTTGGCTCTTTTTAAAGATATCAAAAATTTGTCAACTGATAAATAATTTATCATAACGTCACCTATTTTCCATCAGTTGACAACTTTTTGAAATCTTTCATAGGAATCGAAATAATTGAGCTCACTCAGGTAGAGAATAAAAGTGAACTCTGGCGAAATTTGGGGAACCCCGACGGAAATAGGAAGTCGGTGGTGTAGGAGAAGGTCGGACGCAGGTTTGGCGAACTTCGGCGAACTCTGGGCGAGTTTTGAATGCGTTGCGTGCAAGCGACGCGTGCATTTCGAATTTTGCATCACCTATTTTTTCCTATTTTCAGTGTTTTATCTGAATTCCTGCTCAAACTTCTAAATATTTTTATCCAAAAATGATTAGATTTTTGAAACCGAAAACGACGAAGAACAAATACCGTGAGTGGAATAGAAAATTTCAATTAAAGGGGGGGACAGGAGGTTTTTCGTAGTTTTTTTGTAGCTAGAGTATGCATTCTACCGTCACGGTGTACAACGCTTAATGTCACGCTGCGTACAGCTGTCGTCCTTGCCTTTATGTATGCAATCGGGCGTGCGCTCTCTCTTTGCCCGCGTGGCTCAGTCGGTAGCGGCGCCGCACCCTCAATCATCGCCCTCACAAGTTCAACTCCTCGAGGGGCATCTTTAAACGGAATTTCGAGAACATTTTTTTTTCATGTCCCCCCCCCCCCCTTTAAATCCTTTTTCATTCAGCGTCGAACTGAGAAAATCATTTTTCTGAGTTCTATCTCGTCTACCCCCCCTTTGAGCACATCTCCAGAAGTTTTCCACTGATAGCATGTAAGGTAAACAACAATTATGTTATTCAGTCATTAATAACGTTTTTAGACTCAAGATTCGGAATTTCGTGAATGCCGCAAATCCTTCGCTTGGAAGGGACAAGTCAGAGAATCCGCGAAGTCAGAAGAAGCTTCAAAAGGTTCGTATATTCTGGGTTTGAAGCTTTCGAAAACGTCCAAAAATATTGAGAAAATGCTTTTAAAATGTTTGTAATGTTGTGAAGATATATTTCCCTAAGTATATCGGCAATGAAAATCCGACCTCATCGAGTCCATTTAAAATTCTTTTGAGATTTCTAGTGGAATGGTAGGCGAAATGTCGTTAGAAATAGTTTGAAAAATATCGAAATTCAATTCTGCACAAGCCTTTTAGTCTGCTAAGTGTCAGACTTAGCAAATTTTCAGTGGGAAAAATAAATGATACAATTTTTTGAAAATCAATAAATTTTTTCAGAAATAACAACTACAGCCAACTTCCCGATCGAAAAATCGACTTGGACACGGACAAGGATAAAGTAAAGATGGCAACATCAAGCCGGGGATGCGAAAAATTTTAAAAGCTTCTTTTTTTGTATGTTCTTTTTTTCAACAGTTTTTTGTATTAGTTTTCATAATTGTTTGAATAAATAAAATTTTCTCATTGAACTAGTCTTCCAAGAAAGAAAGAAAAACAAATTTAAAGCGAACCCAAGGCAACGGTGGAAGGTTTTAGGCGAAAGCTGGGCGAAGTTTTGCCAGCTTTTGAGCGGCGTTTGGGCACCTTCTGGGAAAATCTTAAGCGTAATCTGGCCAAACAGCGCCCAAAAGGGGGCCAACTTTCGCCCAAATGACGACAGCCGCAGCCGAGAGCTGTTGGTGTGCGCGTGGCTGATTTGCTAACGCTCTTTCTTTTTAATCTGGCACTCTTACGTTTGACCCCTTTGAAGTCAATTCTTTTTATTTCTTTTTTCAACTTTTTTTGAAAACTTACATCAATTAACGGCTGCACTTCTTTCAATTGCTCATCTATCTTGGCTTTCTTCTCCTCAATAACCACATTTTCCTTCTCGGTCGCCTCTTTCAACTGCTCCATGGACAGTTTTTGGTCTTCTGCTCCCTAAAAAAGTTTGAAGTCCCTAATCTAAAATCAAAAAATCTCAAAACTTACACTCATACTCTCCGTAATCGCCTTCAACGCCTCATCAGCTTCCGCCTGTTTTTCAGCGAGTAGCTTACTTTTTTTGCCAGCTTTTTTCTGCATTTTCGCCACTTCTTCACGAGCTTCGTTCAGTTTTGAAACTCCGCCCTAAACATTTACTTTTTGTTAATTATCAATAGAGCGACCATGCATACCTTCAACCTATCAAGTCTAGCTGAAAGTGTACTCCGTTTATAGCCCAACAGCTGACAACAATTTTCTACAAACTGCCTGTATTTAATTGTTTGAATGGATAAATTTTCAGGCAGGTTGATGAGAATATCCGGGAATCCAGTTAGAATCGAGTCGGTTGCTGTGATGCCTTTTGATTCCATTAATAGCTTGGGAATCTGAAATTCAAGTTTTTGGGATCTGTGTGTCCGGATGTCCCTTACCTCGTTCAAGCTAGATTTATCGAATCGATCAGCAAAGATTACGTTACAATGTTTCAGGATCGCTGGATTTTCAGTGATGTTCAGTTTGAAATCATTGGCTTCCACTTCAAGAATCAACACGACATGGACCAGGCTTCGGATTCCTGAAGTTTCAGACTATAACATATCGTAGAAACTCTAATAGATCCCCTCCAAACCGTCAACTTTGAGCCTTTCTATCTCATTTTCTGGGAGAGATATCAAAAAGTGATCAACTAATAAAATGTTTATCATAATATTAGCAACATTTTATCAGTCGATTACTTTTTGATATCTTTTAAGGGAACAGAGATAATCTGGTTCAAAGTTTGTTAAGGGGTTGGACCATTATATGGTTAACGGTAATTTTCCATTCGAAACTTTCTTCAGGTATGTTATTTTTTGATCAAATAAAAAGGATGTTATAGAAAAACTCAAAAGCTACAAAATGATATTATTTGCAAAGCTGTATGTAATCTGTGAACAAAGTTATAGAAACAAATTAAAAAGTAATTCTGTCCCCGCCATGGCCGTCGCTGTGTTCGACTGTAACTTGTCTGTAACTTTGTTTACAGACAAGATACAGTAATCTAAATATTTTCATTTTGCAGCTCTTCATTTTTTCTATTAAATCCATTTTAATTGGTGAACAAATATCAATTCTGAAACTCACGATGCGCCAAAAACTGTTGCAATGCCCCTGTGAACGACGCCTGATTGGCTGCTTCAGACACCAGCGCCACTAGCCCATCCAATTCTTGTTGAGTGAACAATCCGGGCACATTTCCGCTAGCCAATAAAGAATTTATGGCTTGAAGGAAGACATTTTTCCGAAGTTGATGATCTTCAAGAATCAGAACGACGTGTTCGTTGTTCGTGATAGCTTGGGTGATGGCCTGGAAACTTAATCTTACACTTTGAGCTTAATTATCTCGGCTCCTATAAGAGATATCAAAATTTGGCAAACTACAAAAATATTAAGGATATTGTGATAAACATTTTATTAGTTGACAAATTTTTGATATCACTCAAAGGAACCGAGATAATTGAGCTCAAGTATTTACGATACTCGAAGACAGAGTGAAAAACGACATAAGCCTGTCTATCAGGTACACATTTACAACAGCTCGATTACTCTGAAAATTTCAGAGTATTTTAAACAAACACAGAGCTTCATTTTTGTAGTTAACAACGTTTTTGCGCAAATGCGCTATAGCGAATTATGGCAAGTGGAATTGCAGCTATCATCCACGGCGGAGATCGTCTTAAGAAAAACAGACATATCTCGCTAGAGCGCGTTTTCCCAAAAAAAGATGCTAACTACACAATTTAAGCCATATTTCTGGTTAGTATTCTCTGAAATTTTTAGACCAATCCAAAAAAGTTTGAACAACTTTGGTGGGACCTGAAAACCCACTTACCGCTTTCATTTCATTATCAAACTGTTTCGATGAGAAATTCGCTGTCACCGCCGGCGAGAACACTTGGATATTGTGCATATGAGCAACTAGTCGAACACCATCTCTTCGTCCAAATCCAGTCCGTCCGGGTAGGAATAAATGACCACCGGGGGTGGTTAGAACACGATCAAGGCATGCACAGAAATAGGATAATTGACTGGTAAGGGGCGAATTGAAGTTGGCCACTTCGAAGGCTGCAAAGAAAACCATTTATCTCGGTTTCTGTAAAAGTTATCAAAAAGTTGTCCACTGCTAAAATGTTGCATATAATATGGTAAAAATTTTATAAGTTTACACATTTTCAATATCTCTTATAAGAACCGAGATAGTTGACCTCAATGCAGGCTTTAAGTTCGTTTAATTTGGTTCCTGTAAAAGTTACAAAAATGTAGTCAACTAATGAAATGTGTATCATAATATCACAAACATTTTCTTAATTGACAACTTTTCAATATTTTTTACAGAAATTGAGATAAATTGTGTTAAAGTTAACTCACTGAATCGATTAATTGATTTCAACAAGAGTTGATTGTATTCCTTCATGTTGATCGGAGTTAGTGGAAGACCTGTGTTACTCTCTCCAGGTACAACGGATCCAGTTGTGACGTAGACTTTGTCTGAAAAATGTTTTGATCTTACTGTAGAATCTCTGACCGTCAACTTTGAGCTTAATTATCTTGGTTATCGTGAGAGATATCAAAATGTGGTTAACTACTAAAATGTTTATCATAAAATCAAAAACGTTTCATCAATAGACTATTTTTTGATAACTTTCCCAGAAACCGAGATAAATTGGTCAAAGTTGATGGCTAGGGTTTTAAGACAGCCCGTAAATACTCTCGTCTATTTTGAGCCTACATAACTCATTTTTTGTGAAAGATATCAGAAAGTAGTCAACTAACAAAATGTTTATCATAAAAGCAAAAATATTTTATCAGTTGACAACTGTTTGAGTTGACAAGGACTGAGATAATTGAGCTCAAATCACACACCGCTTCTGGCAATGTGGTCGGCGCCGTAGGCTGCGCCAATACGATGCTTGCACTTTGTGATCAGTTATCTCGTCTCCTGTGAAAGATATCAAAAATGTGTCAACTGATAAAATGTTTATCATAATATCACAAACATTTTATATGTTTATCACTGTTCGATATCTTTCACAAGGATTGAGATAATTGAGCTCGAAGTTGGGCGCTATTCTTCTAGAGTAGAATCCTCACCTGCACTTTGCGACACTGGAATCACATTTCTCAGAATATCCTCAAATTTCTGTTTATCGTTTTCGGTTGGCAGTCGATCCGCAAATATTCGTTTTCCCTCGAAACAAATCACTCCTTCCAGTTTGCCTTGATCCAGCTCATGTCTCAAAAGTGAGACTACCCAATTGGTAAGGTCTCTGGGCGAAAATTGGAATACGATACTGTCAGAGGGTTTGAAGCTTTGTTGAACCTTGGTATAGACATCAACCATTCGAGAAGCGAGTGTTTCTGAATTTCGTTCTCCAACGTCTTCAAGAATTGGAGTTAGATAGGTACGGTAGATAGAAGTCAGCTGGGGAGTGTCCGTGTTGTTCAGAGAGATACATCGAAGAAGGGAGAAGAGGCGATTGGAGATATTTGTGGATGCACCGTCGCCGAGTGGGTTCATGGACCCAACGAATTGAATGTTTTCGATTGAAACCCATTCTAAATTGTGATCGAAGAATCCTTGATAGGTTAGAAGTTGTTGGAGAAGTGCCAGGAGTTCGTTGGTGCCGTACTGAAAACTTTTTTATTAAAGGAACATGGAATTTTAATAGACTTTTTTTCAAAAACTTGTTCTATAAGCCCCTCAAAAAGTTGAGTTTGTGAGCTCGCCGTTGGAGGTTCCGCGTTGCTGCCAGCTGAGCTACGCAGCACAGCCATCGCTAGATGGTGGCGGCGTCAGTGGTTGCGGCGCCAGCTACAAAAGTACTTCAGAATGTTTCGATTTATCTGAAAATTTCAGTGTATAGTAAACAAAAATAGTGCTTTATTTTTGTAGTTAACAACTTTTTGTGCAAATGCGCCCTAACGAGATATGCCACGTGAAAGTGTAGCTATCATCTTCGACGGCGCGCGGAAGAGGATACTTAGGAACGCAGGCGTATCTCGCTAGGGCGCGTTTGCACAAAAAAGTTGTCAATTACAAAAATGAAGCTCTATTTCTGTTTAGTATACTCTGTAATTTTCAGATAAATCGAAATAATGTGGGCTACTTTTTCAGGACTCCAAAGTTAGCTTCTTTTCATCGAAATTTTGAAAACTTGTTTTTTTTCCAAATCACCACAAAAACCATACCTTATCCGGTGCTGGTAAATTGATGCCCTTCAAGAAAAGAATCATATTCGGCCGATCTTTTGGCCTCCACACGCGTCCCGTCGGATTACTAGCCTGCACACAGTTCTGTTGAATCAATTGCAGCAAGTGTGCGGAGCTAGACTGCGCTGAGCAATATAAACTGGCCAACTGAGATTCTGGATCGTTTTGAAAGCAATGTTTGAGAAGTTGTTGTTTTCCACATCCCGTTGTTCCCGTGATTAGGAAGCTTTCCCGGTTCCCGGGGCGGAGCCACGAGCCGATCTGGAATATTTTTTTGAAACTACAGTAACTCAGTATAAATTTCCTCATTTTGAAAGAAACATATATTTTTGAATTTCTCTTGTTTTGAGCTTCAAAAAAAGTATAAACAAGCCTAGGTTCGGTTCACATCGGGTCCCACCACGAAATCTACAGTAATTCCACAAAAATCAAAATCGACCCAGATAGGTGGTGTTTAGGCTTAATTTGAAGCTCTCGATAAGTTGAGCAAGATTGAAATAATTTGAAATTGGAATTTTCAGAAAAAACTAAATTTGAAAAATTGAAGATTTTCAGAAAAATTTTTTTTCTGTTTTTCTGTTTTTTAATCAGTTTTTCATTATATTCATGAAATTTGTGATATTCGTCAGCAATTTTTAATTGTTTTCATTCAGCTCGCTAAGGACTTAAAAATGAGCCCAAACACGACTATATTCCTTTGAAAGTTGGGTCCCACCACGAAAACTACAGTAATCTAACAAAAAATCAAAATTGACCCAGATAGGTCGTGGTGGGGCTCATTTTAACGCTCTCAACGAGCTGAAGCAGAATATGTAATGCGCTAAAGATGAATCTCAGAAATTTTTTCAAAAAATTGATTTTTGAAAATTTTGAAAATTCCAAAAAAAAGAAAACTCACAATATCCGAATATCTCTGAATATCGGCAGTTTGTACAAATGGTCTCAAATCTTCTCTCTCGACTTCTTCCTTCGTCACATTCTGTGTCACGTCATCTGAATACGTCATGACTCCATCGACCCGCTCGTCGTAGCAAATATTCTTGGGGTCAGCTACAGTAATCCCTTGGAAAACTACACTTTTCGCGAATTCATTTCGAGATTCTGGCACGACGTAGGGCATGAATCCGTTGAATAGGAGCACCAAAAAATGCGTTTTGGTTTTGGCTGATTTCAAATGCGTCAGCCCGTTTTTCAATAAAGCGAAACTGGTGATTCCTGGTATTTGCTTCGTTTGAACCCATTTGAAACATCTCCAGAAGTGAGATTCAAGCCACGTGGCTGTTTCAGCGTGCACGTCTTCTGAATTCTTTGCGAGCCAACTCGCAACGATGCCTTGAGGTTTCACGTCTTCTTCGCTAAAAATTGAGAAATTTTTTTAAAAATCTAGGTCACGACCTAGATTTTTTTAGGTCATGACCTAGATTTCATATTTTTCTAGGCCATGACCTAGATTTTTTTAGGTCACTACCTGAATTTTTCTAGGTCATGACCTAGATTTCTTTAGGTCATGACCTAGATTTTTCTAGGTCATGATCTAGATTTTTTGTTAGGTCATGACCTAGATTTTTTAGGTTATGGCCTAGATTTTTTAGGTCATGACCTAGATTTTTTTAGGTCATGACCTAGATTTTTCCAGGCCGTGACCTAGATTTTTCTAGGTCATGATCTAGATTTTTTTGTTAGGTCATGACCTAGATTTTTTAGGTTATGGCCTAGATTTTTTAGGTCATGATTTAGATTTTTTTGAGCCGTGACCTAGATTTTTCTAGGTCATGACCTAGATTTTTTTTTATTTTCACTAACCTTATGTAAATCATTCCCATTCGGGATACTGTAGCTGGTGAGGCAAACTGCAGAGAGTCGGTTTCGAAGAGGAAATTCACGTTGGACCCGAATTGAATTCGCTCTCCAGACGGCATTGTGAGCTGAAAAAGAAGATATTGATTATCTCGGTTCCTGTAATAAATATCAAAAAGTTGTCAACTGATAAAATGTTAGGAATTTTAAAGGAGGCCAGACATCAAAAAAAAAGTTTTCCTGATATTTTGCATAGAGAACCCCCATGAGGGGTTGAACCCATGACAGGCAGCTCAGGGGTACAGCGCCACTACCGGCTGAGCTACGGGGGCGCGAAGGCGGCTGACGACCGATGGTCTACATAAGCGAGGCGGGATTTCGTCCCCCGAACTGTCCCCCGAAATTTTTGCTGTCTCGCCTCCTTTAAGATAAACATTCTATCAGTTTACCACTTTTTGATTTCTCTCACAGTAACCGAGATAATTAGCGTGAAAGCACGCAATAGGCGCCGTTGGCTGCGCCACCACTATGCTTTTGATTTGAGCTTAATTATCTCGGTTACTGTAAAAGATATCAAAAAGTTGTCAATTAATAAAATGTAGGTCATTTCATGATAAACATTTTATCAATTGATTACTTTTTAATATCTCTTACAGTAACCGAGATAATCTAGCCCCAACTCACCAATCGATTATCATCCAACACCGAGTTCAACGCTTCAACCCATTCCGGATCAATATCCCCATCACACACAATCCAATGGTGTACTGTAGTATCTTTTTGCACTTCTCTCGCTGCCATTGTTATAATTCCATCTGTCCATTCTCTTGTGTCCATATCCATATTACCCAACAACTTGTTTCGATTCACAGCTTTTGGATTGAATTGAGTCACTCTCAGGGGCTTTTTCGTTAGGATCAGTGCTCGTTGAAGAACCTTCCAGATTGTGGATTTTCCAGATCCAGCGGCACCGACAACCACCACTCCGATACGTTGACGCATTTGCTCGTAGAGCTGAAAATTATAAAATGTAGCAAAAAGAAAAATACCAGTAGTTGGCCTCGGGGGGGGGGGGGGGGGGGGGGGGGACTCGAACTCGAGTCTCGTGGGCAAAAGTGTGGCGCGCTAGCCACTACACAACCCGGAAGCTTGAAGGGTTAGAGTGAGAAGGCGTATGGATTAGTGGGCTTCCTCGCCTTTTTCTTGGGATTGTCTGACATCAACTTTGAGCTTTAACTTTAACTTTTTTTTTTTGAGACCGCTAACTTTGAGCTCTATTATCTCGGTTCCTATAAAAGATATCAAAGATCTGTCGGCTAAAGAAATGTTTGTCATAATGTTAGAAACATTTTTTTAGTTGACTGTTTTTTGATAACTTTTATAGGAATCTAGATAATTGCGCTCAAAGTTTGATCTCCATATTCCCATCTCACCTGGAAAACCTTCTCCATCTGTTTTTCCCCCAAACTAATTCCTATTTCCTTTGCGGCCACTCCCAATGGCTCTACGAGCTCCTCAAACTTTGTCATCTCCTTCGTCACATTTGCGAAAATGTCGTCTATCAGAGAATTGAATCTTTCCGAATCAGAGAATGTCAGTTTTGAGAGTGTGTTCAGTAGAAGCGCCTGGACCACCAAATCCGTCTCATTCTTGTTCGGCTGAGCTCGTCGAAGAGCTCCACATCCACCTAGGACCACTTTTAGAGCTCGGAGTCCCCAATCGTAGTGTTGTTGTTTGGAGAGCATTTGACGGGATAGTTGGAATACTGTAAGCTTGGAATTTCTTTTTAAATCAAAAACCAAAGTCTAGAGCTCAACGCTCAACGAAACCTACAAAGCATAAAATCATGCAGATACCCTAACTTTGTACCAATTTATCTTGATTACTGTAAGAGATATTTGAAAGTTGTCAACTGATAAAATATAAATGATAATGTGATACACATTTTATCAGACTGAACATTTTCAATATCTCCGAAAGCAACCGAGATAATGGAGCTCAAAGCATGCACCGTTACTGGTGATGCGGTGGGCGATGTTGGCTATGCTTACATTTTGAGCTAAATTTATCTCACTTCCTATAAGAGATATCAAAAAGTTGTTAACTGGTAAAATGTTTATAATAATGTTATAAACATTTTTTCAGTTGACACATCTTTAGTATCTCTCACAGGAACTGAGATAATTAATCTCAAAGCATGCGCCGCTACTGGCGGCGCGGTCGTCGCTGTTGGTTATGCCTGCACTTTGAGCTCAATTTATCTCACTTCCCATAAGAGATATCAAAAAGTTGTCAACTAATAAAAGGTTTCTAATAATATGCTAAACATTTTGTCAGTTTACGACTTTTGAATATTTTTCACAGGAAATGAGATATATGAGCTCAAAATCCTCACCGGACACTATCTTCCTTGCCAACGACGTAGCATCCACAAATCCTTCCGAATACAAAATCGTAGACGAAATCAGCTCGTTATCTGGTTTTCCCATAACCACCGCTCGGAACAACTGTTTCAAGTTATCCGGCATTTTTTGCCGTCCTCCATAACCCTTTCCAGCCGGGTTCAGGGTTACGAAAATTGCCGAATTCGGGTTGACTTGAACATTTTTGCCTCCAAAGGTACATGAGCCAGCTCGCGATTTTATTGCACCTTGAATGGTTTGAATTTGCATTGAAACCGCGGAAAGGACAGTCTGAAAAAGAACCCTGTCAAGTGTAAGCTAATTTTTCTTGGCTCCTACACAAGATATCAAAATGTAGTAAACTGATAAAAACTTCATCATAATATCGCAAACATTTCATTAGTTGACAACTTTTTGATATCTTTGACAGGGACCGAGATAAATAGGCCGAAAAACCAAGTAGTTGCGAAACGTCTGGCTGCGAAATAGACACTCACCGAATCCAATCGATTGAACTCATCGAAACATCCCCACGCTCCGCACTCGACAATTCCAGTGAATATTCGTCCCATCGACGTCACATCGATTCCTTCGTCACAATTGAATACCAACACCTGACGACCCATTAGTGCCGCCAACGCCTTCACGGATTCTGTCTTTCCGGTACCAGCAGGTCCGTATGGATTACCTCCAAGTCCCATGTACATAGCTGGAAACAGCTAATTCTTAAAACTGTAAGATTTTTAGAAAGGAAGCCAATATGATTTGTCTGAATTCGATGTAAAAGCTGGTGGGACACAATGGACATGAATTGGGACAGTTAGTGGGACATAAGCAAAAAGCTTTCAATTGCTTTTGTTTCGTTATTGAAGAGCCTCAGGAGATTGAGCTTGTGAGCTAAGACGTCGGCACGCCGACGCAAGCATTGGCTCTCAACTTTGTCAAAATTTATCTCGGTTACTGTAAAAGATATGAAAAAGTGGCCAACTAACCAAATTTTCATCATTTTATCTTACACATTTTATCAGTTGTCTATTTTTTTTATATCTCTTAAAGAAATCGAGAAAAATGAGCTCGAACTCGATCGACAGTGGTGATGTAGCCAACGGCGCCAGTAGCGGCGCGTGAGCCTAATTATCTCTGTTCTCGTAAGAGGTATCAAACAGTGGTCAACTAACAAAATGTTTATCATGTCATCATTAACATTTTATCAGTTGACAGATTTTTGATACCATTTTTGAGAGTCGAGATAAATGATGTCAAAGTTGGCAGTACCAACAGAGCGCCCACTATGACAGGCTTCGCGGGAAAACGAATTTTTGGTTCGGTAGACAATCCCAAAAACCAAATTTATTTATTTATCTATATGTCCAGATGTCCACATACCTTGTGTCAAAGTCAAATAGCACTTATCCGTCAGCGGTGTATGCACAAGTTTCGCATAGTTTCCTTGATACTCGTAGGTGTATTCGAACTCACTGGACACCTGAAATTTGAAGCTTTGTATTTGCCCAACACTTGCCCATCTTTTGCCAGACAGACAAGGTTAAACACAGACAGGTCCATCCCTCACCTGTCTCAACACGATTCCTCCATTCACCAAATAGAACCTCAATTGCCTTTGCCAAGTCCAACAATTTATTCCTTTCGCCTTATTGTCCATTAACTGATCGACCACATCGATATGATGGATGAGATCGAGAATCAGTGATTTCAATTTGAGATCCGACACTTTATCATCGACTTTCATGTTCGTATGAGATTTCAGTTTCTCTTGAAGTTGCGATTTTAATGAAGACAGGTCGGATGAGGAGTTGAGGATCTGAAAAATATTTAGTTTACTATTTTCGGGGCCAATTATTTCAATTTCTATAAGAGATATCAAAAATGAGTCTACTGATAAAATTTAGGTGATTATATGATAAACATTTTATCAATAACATTTTATCACTTGACAGATGTTTGATATCTATTACAGTGATTGAGATAATTAATCTCAAAACACGAGCCGATACTGGTGCCGCTAACAGCTCCGTTGGCTGCGCAACCACTTTGAGCTCAATTTTCTCGATTTTTTAAAGAAATACCAAACATTTGTCAACTAATAAAATGTTTATCAGTTCATCAAAAAAACTTTATCATTTGATTACTTTTTGATATCTCTTATAAAATCCGAGATAATTGAGCTCAAAGTGGAGGTTCCTCATATTCGATGCTAGCGTGTAGCTCGATTATGTAGCTAGAGAATTAGACAAACTACAGCTCTCTAAATATTATCATCTTGTAGTTCTCAATTTTTAGTTTAAATTTGTCAAAAGGTATTAAGGCTATCAGAAGATACGGTCGTTCGCAATTACCGTTCAAACTGTCTAATACAGTTGCACCATGTTCACCCACTTTAAGCCATGTTATTTCGGTTACTGTAAGAGATATCAAAAAGTTATCAACTAGCAAAATGTTACTGATATAATGATAAAAATTTTGTTAGTTGACATTTTTTTGATATCTTCCACAGGCGCTGAAAACAGGATCAAAGTGAAAAATGGGGGACGATGCTTCTACACCACACCTAAAGGCTCCCCAATTTCGATTCAATTTATCTTGCTTTTTGTAAAAGTTATCAAAAAGTGCTCAACTGATAAAATGTTTATCATAAAATCACAAGACTTTTATCAGTTGACACGTTTTGGATATCTCTTACAGTAACCGATATAATCTGGCTCAAAGTTCAAACTCTACTCGAGATACTCACATTCTCAACACTGGCACTAAACTTGACCTCCTCAGCGAGACACAAAACTTGCGACGGGTATTTTCCCAATGAAATTTGTCCATCTGCTACAGCCTGAGCCGTCAACGTCTTCAACGTTCTCCTCATTTCGTCCGACAACTCTTGGAGCCATGTTTCCACCTGTGGAACGATTCGAACACTTTTCGACAGAGGTACAGTCTCTCCTTCAGCTGACACCATTGATGTTATCGTCTCTCCGGTTGATGAGAAAACGACTCGATTGATCCCCTGGAACAGCTTCTTCATATGAGTTTGAATCACTTGCGGATTGGTTGATTGGCCAAGGATCTCTAGAAGATCATCGTCTCCAATGAAGTAGAATCGCGGGAAAGCGGTTCGTTTTTGCTCCAAGAACTGATTCAAGGCCTTCTGACATCGATTCAATTGATCCACGATTTGTTCCAACGACTTTTTCAGCGACTGTCTGCTGCACAGCGATACTAATCTAGCATCTTTGGATACGTCTGAAAAAATTGAAGCTTTTTTGCAGTTCGGCTCTAATTCTTACCATTCAAAATTGCTCGATACTCAGAGTCCACTCTCGAGAATCGCGAAGCTTCGGATGGCAACGCTCCTCTCCCGAAAATTGGCTCTAGATAAATCCATTTCCTTTGAATCTCGTTCATTTGTGCCAGGAACACATCCAAATCGGCAAGACGCGTCTCCCATACTGCTGTCTTATCCGAGAATTGAGAATAGTAGGGTGAGGATTTGAGCGATTGAAGCAGAGCTTGACTGTCTTTGAGCTGAAACATGAACATATGGATACACTGACAGATAATTTGTTTGGTATAGTATAATTGCTTTAACAGCTCAATTATCTAGGCTCTTATAAGAGACAACTGAAATTAGAAAACTGATAAAATGTTTGTCATAAAATGTTCCACATTTTTTTAGTTAAACATTTTTTGCTATCTCTTACAGTAACCGAGATAATTGAGCTCAAAACGTGCGCTGCTACTGGCGACGGGGTAGGCGCCTATAGCTGCGCCACCACTATGCTTTCACTTTGTGACCAGTTATCTCGTCTCCAGTGAAAGATATCAAAAATGTGTCAACTGCTAAAATGTTTATCATAATAGCAATAATATTTTACCAGTTCACCATTTTTTGACATCTTTTACAGAAACTGAGATAAATTGGCTGAACGTTTTCCTCTCTCTCTCTCTCTCTCTCTCTCTCTCTCTCTCTCTCTCTCTCTCTCTCTCTCTCTCTCTCTCTCTCTCTCTCTCTCTCTCTCTCTCTTTTTCCCAAATTTTCACAGCAAACAACATGATATTTGTACAATGGCTAGTCCGAGTAGTTTGCTGCCCACACCATAACGCATGACGAATCCCAACTTTTCATTTCCTCTCCTGGCTAGCTTCTTGCAAATTCAAGATTTACAGTCAATTCGAACTGCAAAATGTGGAACTTAATAATAGCTACAAAACCATATAAAATTCCAAATGTTTAAATTTTATTAATTTGGGTTAGAGAGAACTACAGTTAACTATAACCTCTCTATCCATCAACTTCAAAGAATCTATCATTTAAGCTGATATTTTTTTTGAAACTTTTAGTTTTCAGAACCAAAATATGTCTTTGAACACCACCACCATCTACCCGAGCGCTGATAAACAACTGTCCTATGATAGCTTGAAATCTGTACTTCAACAGCTGGAGCCAAATTTCAGGTGAGTCTTTTCAGATGAAGTCCACCCCCTCCACCCCTCCCCCGCCCTCCAAAAAATTGCTTCTCAGATTCCAACTGGCCCTACGTCTTCCAACTATTCGTCTCGCTGAAAAAGCTGTCCCACTTCACATCTCCAAACTTTTATTTTTGGAATCCGGCTTCCAATTGAATGACACCAAATACCGTCTTGGCGTTATTCGTCAAGCTCGTGAAGGTCTCACTCCATCTTCAATCAAACTCAAGAACCAAAAAGGTGGAGTTGAATTTGATATCGATAGATTCGGTTTAAAGGATCACGCTTAGCGATTGGAAATCACTTCTGGCGATATTTTAGTCCGAGAGGATAAGGAGAGACGTCGGCAAACTTTGGAGGGTGCGGAGAGATGGGTGAAAAGATTACAATCCGATTTGGATGAACTGAAGAAGAAGAAGGAAGAGGTGGAGATCACCGAATCCGTTGTGGTCAATAGAGCCGGTCACCGGAAGAACCGCGAAGAGCAGTTAAACGATCTAGATACACAGCTTCGAAACATCAGAATCTACCTAGAACATAGTCAATTACAAGTGAAATTTTATCAGTGCAAAAGGGATAATCTTTCATCACCATTCGAAATGTTCATCTCAGGTAAACGATTCGGAATTAGATCTGGCTTCTTTCGGAATTAGATCGAATAACTCGAAATTCGGAATTAGATCTGAGTTCATTCGGAATTAGATATGGACTAGATCTAATACCGAAGTTGCCACGAGAAATGCGCCATCAATGACTCAGCTGCCGCGGATGAATTGTTTTGTTTTTTTGTTGTCCTAAATTTTTTTCGTCAGGAAAATGGGTATTTCTCTCAACTTTTGCCTTTTTTTTCGCTCAATTATTTAAACTATATTTTCTGGAACATATTTTAATGTGTTGTGCACGTTTTTGCAAAATTTTAGGTGAATTTTTTTAGGAACAGCTGAATATTCAAAGTTCAATTTATATATACGACTTCTATAGAAGACAGTAATCTATGAATCGACAAAAATACGACGATTTTGAAGATTTTAAATTCGGAGAAAACTCTGCAGGTAAGATAATTTTTGCCTTTTTCAGCTTGAAGGATTACGTAAAAACGATGCAAGGGATCACCGAAAAAAACAAGAAAAAAGAGATGATAAATTGCTCTGATAGTGAGCTCAATTTACACAAGTCGAGAAGGCCTTACTTTCGGAAGCCGTGTCTTGTCATGAGCAGGTTAGTTTTCGAAAGTCTGGTGGACAAAGAAACATGCGTGAAATTGCAGGCTCTCAACCGAATGTGTCATGACCCGATTAAAACGATTCAAAAATTTGGGATTTGTTGTATAAAACAACTGCTCTAATGAATTTATTTGGATTTGCAAAGATTTGAGTACGGAAATTATATTGAAATGGATCAAGTAAGTTTATTATATCACAAAGCCAAAATATTATATCACTAAGCCAAAGCGATTATATCACAAAGCCAAAGCGACATCACAAAGCCAAAATCTTCTTTTTTCAGTTAAATCAACATTCATTTCATAAAGAATATCCATCTTATCTACAACCGGAAACTATGACAAGAGAATTTTCAAAATCGAAAATATGGACGAGCGGAAGAATTCGAATTGAGATTTTTTTTCATAAATTTTGTCACTTTTTCTTATCTCATAGTTCCCATTATTCTCGCTGATCTCATCGTTTTCTTTTTTGCTGATCCCATTCATTCATTTGTATCACACCCCTCATTTTCGTTCCGATTTCCTATAACTACATTTTAATCTATGTTTTTCTTTTTCTCATACTTGTTCTGTTTTCTTTTTTAATAAATTTTATTATAAATAAAGTGAATGGCGTTGAAAAGAAAACAAAAATTGAAAAGCGCGCGCTACGATGCTCCGAAATCCCGCCGTCCTGTTCGGAATTAGATATAATTCGTTCGTAGTTCATTCGGTGTTCGTTCGGAATTAGATCAGCTAAATTCTGTATTAGATCATGCCACTTCTATTTACGAACGAATACAGATCTAATTCCGAATGAAGTCAGATCTAATTCAGAATCGTTTACCTGAGATTAAGGTAATACGGTACCAATTAGTGATTTTAGAGTTTGTTTTTAGCTCACGAAGACGTCTCCGAATGGTACTGTCTACATCGAACGTGTCACCTACAACAAAAGTCTGAACGAGGCATAAAAATATCTAATCAACAAGTTCCTTGGGAACCGCCAATTAGTCTCTATAGTTCAAACGCTCGGATTCTGGCCGAATCAATTGAGATTGCCAGTTATTCACCTTCCAGAAGGCATCAAGTTGGATGTTCAAGCGTTTGGAACTTTTGGAAATCTTTCAAACGTTTTGGAACGAGCCGAAAATCTTCTGGAGCATCCCAACCGCCCTTTGGCTCGTCTGGAGACGGTCTCTATGAAATTGGAGGAGTTTCAGCATTCGATAGTTCAAAACGCCCACGTTTTAGTGTTATCCCACCTTTCGGCCATAGATGTTTAACCCGCCGATGTGAACCTCTCAAGGACACATTGCTCATTCTTCAGCGACCACTGTATGACTCTCATTCGCACATCTTCTTTGTGCTGACGTCTCTACATGAGACAATTATTGATTTTCCGTTGCTAGTCACCCTCTTCGATTTTCACCGATGCCCTGACTCTCGCGTTATGGTAAATGGTCCATTGTTTTGTCTGCCTTAACTAACATTTGTGTCTCATTCTCTTTTTCTAACCCAACATACTCATTTTTAATAATTGTTTTGTTAAAAAGCCGAAACTCACTAGAGTACCTCGAATCTGAGGTAAAGGGTCTTTATGTATCATAACCTTCCTGCAACTCGAACAATTTCTAGTAATAAAATGTAGATTATGAAAGCCTCTACAAATGAATTAAACCTATTTACAGACAATGTCATCAGCTATACCGGACGCTAACAAGAAACTATCCTATGATTGTTTGAAATGTGTACTTCAAAAGTTAGAGGTGAATTTTAGGTGAGTAACTTTTACGAAAAAGAATTAAGTGATTTCGTTGAGAACTTTCAGATTTCGACTTGCCGAACGTCTTCCGAAAATAAGTCTTGCCGAGAAAGCTGTTCCACTTTATATCTCTAAACTCTCAATTTCTGAAGGGAGCGTCAAAATAAACGACACCAAATACCGTCTTGGTATTATTTGCAAACCCCGTGAGGGTCCCACTCCCGAAATAATCAAAGAGGAACAGCGAAGAGGTGGATGTAAATGCGATTTCGATAGGTTTGGATTCGAGAAGCGCTCCCTTCCAGAACTAACTCCTGGGGATATTCTTATTCGAGATTACGATCCTGCCGCAGACTTAGACATGAATCTTGAATTGGCAGAGGCAAATGTGGTGAGAGATCAGAAAGTGCTAGCTGATATGGAAAGAGAGAGAAGGGATCTTCAATATGGTCCAGAAGAGGTTGAAAATCTCCCACAGTATCCACTGGAATTAGAACCAGAAGAGCTTGACAGAAGAAGAAGAAGATTCCAGGGGGTTAGTCGAGAAGTGCGACTCCAAGCAATCAATGAAGAAATTCGACATATGAAAATGGCATTGGAGAAGGACGAATTATATGTGCTACGTTTTCAATGTAAACGAGATGACCGTCCATTACCATATGACATGTTCATTCAGGTAATTGTATTAACTTCATGCGTTTTCTAAAGTACCCTATTTCCAGTTCACGAGGAAGTCTTCAGATGGTACTGTCTACATCGAACGTTTTAAACACGATAGAACTTTGAGGGAGGCACAGAAGTATCTGATCAACAAATTCCTTGGAAATCGTCAATTGGTTACGAAAATCAGATCGCTCGGCTTCTGGGCGCGTGAAAGTAACGGTCTAGTTATTGGTCTTCCAGAAGGCATCAAGTTTGATGTTCAAGGGTTTGGAACTTCCGGAAACCTGTCAGAAGTTTTACAACGAGTCGAAACAATTCTGGGGCATCCAAACCGCCCGTTCACTCGTCTCGAGACGGATGGCTTGAAATTGGGAGACGGTAGAAATCCGAAAGTTCGAGATGCTGGAGTTTTGGTGTTGGTCAACAACTGGGAAGTCGATGTTATGGCATTGTGTCGTGAAGTACCGAATAAGAAATTTGTGATCTCCATTGGCTACGTGATACAGCCAGGAGAATATGCAATGATTGTAGAGAACTTGATCAACGCAAAGGGGACACTCGGGACATGTTATGAATTCAACCAAGTGAGATGGTATGATACAGAGGGAGATCCGATGAGAGCTATTGCTGCTCGCTTCGAGAATGCTGCTGTAGAGGAGAGGTAAGGCTAAACGTTCTCTTTAAGTGATTTTTTTTGCAACCCTGCTGGTAACTTGAAAATGAAAACAGTTAGAAATTGCTCACGTCGTCTGGTTTTTGAGATTTCTCTTGTTTTCCAGCCTCATCATCATTCCACTCCCCCATCAACTGCAACTTAAAGTTACCTGCGAACAAGATCAGAATTCAAGAATTCCTCCGTACACAATCAAAATGGAAGTGGTTCAAAGTCATTTTTAATTTTTGTTTTATTTCAAAACTAATTAATGCTAATTAGCTCTGATTAGCTTCTATAGTATTATCATCTTCTACTTTCATGGCGAGTATTGTGATAAAGAAATAAATGATACAATTCCTATTTCCTTCTTTTTTTCTAATGTTGTACTTGTCACTTCTCTAGTCAGTTGATTCCAAAAATCGCTTTCTTGCAATCCGCATTGTTTTCGATTAGAAAAGGTTCTCGTGTGTCTTTAAAGTTATTATTTCCCCTCTAGCTGCTTAAAACACGAACTTTCTTGTTATTAACTCGGAAAGTCCAACTCAAAGGATTCAACTTTAATCCAAAATGAAAAAAAAATTTAAAACCGCAAATTCGAAGAAAAGAATTTTTGGCTAGAACAACTTGTTTGTAGATTTTGTCATCATATTAGTAGTTTCCCTAGAGCACATTTGACCTCTCAAGGACACATTCTTCTGCTCGTCTTGACCACTGATTGATTCTCGCTCTCACATCTTCTTTTGTGCCTACAGACAATACCTATTGATTTTCCCTTACTAATGCCTCTTTTCGATTTTTCTGGTGCTCTGACTGTGTGGTCAATGGACCATTCTTCTGTTCACTCTATCCATCATTTGTGTCTCATTCTCTCACACATTTGAATCTCAACAACTCAGCTGTGTCTCTAGCGTCAAACTGTTTGAACAGCGTCTTAATTTTTGGAAATTCACAGAAACCGAACAATGTCATCACTCATTCCGGATGCTAACAAGAAACTATCCTATGGCTGTTCGAACCCCAAACTAAACTAACCGAATTAATCGACTCCTTCCATTCTTTGATGATTTTCAAGTTCTGCCCATTCGAATGTTTATAATCAGCCAATGTGAATTCGGTTTGAGCAGCCCATAGTGTCAATTCTTGAATCGCATCTCGTATGGCAACTTCTCCTTGAGCACGAGAGTTCAACTGTTTCAACTGGTCCGCATTTTCAATGATAGCTTTGGAAACGGAGAGGAGATCCGCGAATTTTAGCTTTTCGATGGTGGTTCCTCTGGAAACACAATTTTTGAGCGCTTGTATCTCTAAAACTAAAGAAGCTAGCTAAATTTTGTAAACTAATAAAATATAGCTCATGAAATTCTACAAATTTTATTAGTAAAAAACTTTATGCTAAGTCGGTTAGCTTTTGCGGCATACGCGCTCGAAGCGCAGAGAAACAAGAGCGTGCGGCTTCCACCTTCAGACTGGTGTGCCTTTACTTTAAGGACATGTATCTCAAAAACTAAGAAAGCTGGCTAAAATTTGTCAACAGGCAAAATATAGTTCATAAAGTTTTATGCATTTTACTAGTTGACAGTTTTTTGCTAGCTACCGTAAAACCTCTAATAGAACGACACCCGGATCGTCCACTTTGAGCCCATTTATCTCATTTTCTGTGAAAGATATCAAAAAGTGGCTAATTAGTAAAATGTTGCTGATATCCTGATAAACATTTTACTTGTTAACCACTTTTTGACATCTTTCAAAACAAGTGAGATATATAGGCTCAAAGTGGACGATCCGGGTGTCGTTTTATTAGAGGTTTTACGGTATTTTAGTTTTTGAGTTACATGCGTTTGAAGCTCAGAGAAACAAATGCGCGCGCCACAAATAAGTTCAAACTTTGAGGACTTCTATAAAAAAATTAGCTAGCTAAATTTTGTAAATTACAAAAATATAGCTCATAATATTATACACATTTCGTTAGTTAACAATTTTATTCTAGCTATTCTAGCTTTTGAGTTACAGGTGGTTGCATCAGGAGGGCCCAACAAGCCAGGAGGAGACGCAGAGAAAATAGGCAGCCTCGTTTCTCTGTACCCTCCTGTTAGGTTACTGCTATCTGTGCAACCAAATAACATTAAGACCCCCCCCCCCCAAACCCAGAACCCCAAAAATCAATACCTTGGTAATCCCAAAAACCGAAACATCTCGTGCCAATGATCCGCACTCAGCACATCACCTCTGCAGAACTTCAGCGCACTGCTCACTTCTTTAAAATGCTCGACATCCTTCATCAACCGAACACTCATATGCGTCTGCGAGCCTCCCTTCAATTTTTCCATCCATTTTCCCAAAAATTCATCAAAAAGATAGGTTTTCGATCGAAAAACGATCCATTCCTCCTGGGAAAGTGTGTCTAGGTCATTGTTGAACATTTCATAAATCGCCAATTGACTTCAAATTGTTTGATGTCATCGTCGATTTCGTCGATTAGATCCAGTTTTGGAGGTTCCAGTCCAAATTGACCGCATTCTTTTCTGGAAGGTTCTAGGGGTTAAGCTGCTCATTTTCAAATTTAGGCGCTAATTTTGAGCTCAATTGTCGTATACTCTAACAGAATTTTACGAAAGGGTCAACATCGATCTCAGTTATCTCAGTTCCTGTAAAAGATATCAAAAACCTGTCAACTAAGAAAATGTTTGTGATGATATGGGAAAGATTTCATTAGTTGAAAAATTTGTGATATCTCTTACCGTAAAACCTCTAATAGAACGACACCCGGATCGTCCACTTTGAGCCTATATATCTCATTTTCTGTGAAAGATATCAAAAAGTGGCTAACTAGTAAAATGTTGCTGATATCCTGATAAACATTTTACTAGTTAACCACTTTTTGATATCTTTTAAAAGAAGTGAGATATATAGGCTCAAAGTGGACGATTCGGGTGTCGTTCTATTAGAGGTTTTACGGTATATTAACTGAGTTTATTAGGCTTGAAGTGTAGCTATCGAGGTTCATTTAGGTAGCGGCCTCGATCCTTACGTTTCACCCATGTGCTAATTTTGAGCGGCTGCAAACGTACTTAGTACTTGTTCTATTGTTTTGAAAAGTTTGGATTATATTTAACAGGAAAAGAGCTCCATTTTTGTACCTGACAACATTTTTGTGCAAATGCGCCCTAACGAGATATGTATCATAGCGAAGCAAAGCATGTACGAAAGACCGCTACTTTTTACTTGTCATTTGAGCTGCATTATCTCAATTTCTATAAGAGATATCAAAAAGTTATCAACTAATAAAATGTTCACCACATTATTAGCAACATTTTTTTAGTTAACCAACTTTTGATATCTCTTATGGGAACTGGGATAATTTAGCTCAAAAAATGCGCCGCAACTGGCGACGCGGTCGGCCCCGTTGACTGAGCCACAACTGTGCTTGCTGACTTTGAGCTTGACTATCTCAATTTCTATAACAGACATCAAAAAGTGGTCAATTAATAAAATGTTTATCACATTATCAGCAACATTTTATCAGTTGACAGATTTTCGATATCTCTTAAAGCAACCAAGATAATTTTGCTCAAAAAAGCCGCCACTGGCGACGCGGTCGGCGCCTTTGACTGCGCCACAACTGGGCTTACCTACTTTAAGCTTAATTATCTCAATGTCTATTAGAGATATCAAAAAGTGATCAACTAATAAAATGTTTATCACGATATCAGAAACATTTTTTAGTTGAAAAATTTTTAATATCGCTTATAGGAACCGAGATAATTAGGCTCAAAATACGTGCCGTTATGGTCTGCGACGCGGCCGTCGCCGTTGACTGAGCCACAACTGTGCTTGCCGACTTTAAGATCATTTATCTCAATTTCTTTAAGAGATATCAAAAAATGATCAACTAATAAAATGTTTATCAAGTTATCAGAAACATTTTTTAGTTGAAAAATTTTTAACATCGCTTATAGGAGATAATGTGCCTCAAGAACATTCACAGTAAAACAACCAAAACATCTCACTCAATTTTCTCTCTTCCATCACTCAGCTCTTGCCACTGAACTCGTTTTTCTTTAATAAACTGAATCGCTTTTAGCATTTCCTCTCGATCGCCTTGTAATGCATCACTTCTTGGCTTGAATTGGTCCCATCTCGCTTTCAGCTTCTCCGCCTCATCCTTCATTCCCTTGATTGATGTTTCAACGTTGGTCTGGAAGGAAATTGCGGTTTTGGGTCAAATTTTTGATTGTTGCTAGAAGAGATATCAAAAAGTTAAAAACTAGTAAAATGTATAAAATTTCATGAGCTACATTTTGTTAGTTTTCAAATTTTGTCTAGAAATTTTAGTTTTTGAGATATGCAAGCTTGAAGTTACCTACACCCAATTTTGACCCAAACTTGACCTAATTAATTTATCTCTGTTCCCTTAAAAGCTATGAAAAATTTGTCAACTGATAAAATGTTTATCATAATATCTCCAACATTTTATTAGTTGACACGTTTATGATATCTCTTACAAGAACCCAGATAAATTGGGTCAAACTTTTCTTCTTTTAGGGGTCAACTACCTTCAACGCCTCGACTTGTTCCTTAATAACTCCTTGATGCGCATCTAACATCAGCTCAAATCGATCCCATGTTTGTTCCAAGTTATCAATCTGCTCCATTCCTTGACCAGCAACTGATCTCAACAGTGTCAATTGCTCCTCCATGACTTTCCATTCCATTTTCAGCTGACGATTCGTTTCAGCAAAGATGACGTGTTTCGCATTGGCCTCGGCGACTTCATCCAAGGATCCGGGTACTGTATTCAGGACTTCGATAGCTTGAGAGAGAAATGTGCTTATAGAGGTGGACGTCGTGGAGATGGAGTGTCTGAAATTTGGGTTTTCTGTGTGTTTGCGTGTCCAGATGTCCTACTTACCTTAAAGTCCATGTCAGCGCATCGTACAATCTCTGAATCGCATCCTCGATTGCAGTTTTAACACCAGCAGTACTCACCAATATGCACTCGAATTTGAGTTCACTGAAAGAAATATACAGTAATCTCTGCAGCTAACAAAACCGAACTGCAAGCCTCGCAAACGCTCTCACAGCGTTTGTTTTACTATCTTTGTGAATGCGCTTTAATGAGAACGCAGCCAAATCGATGGCTGAGGATCAAACGTTTCGTTTCGTTGTCTGCGTCTCTTCACCGAAATTTCGTCTCTTCACAGAAATGTTCTGAGTCTCTTCACCGAAACAAGATCTCTCGTTTTAGGGGAGAATTTTTTCATTTTTGAAAATTAGAAAAAGCTTCGCCCCGCCCCTTATCAATAGAACGAGTTTGCAAAGATAGAAAAACAAACCCTGTGCGCTCTGTGATGAACAAAATGCTTTGCTAGAACAAATGTACGGTAATCTAATTGAACCAAAGTCTTAATGACTTGCAGTTCGAATTTTCTAAAGTACAGTAATCCAATCTTACTGTGGCAAACGTTCGGCCTCTCTTGCTTTGGCTTTCAAAATCTTAAACTGCGATTCCCAATCCGCTGCGGTTTTCAAATTTTCCTCAATAAGCTCCTCGAGGTCCACTTGGGAGATGACTAGCCAATCCTGAAAATTTTTTCAATTGCGGACATCCGGACAAACCGATAAGCATACCACGAAAATGGCATCACAAGTCTCCACTTTTTGCATCAATTGCTCAGCTTTCTCGTAGACTGATGGCAACAAATGCATACTTCGTTCGATCATTTGGGCGTAGAATTTGGTTGACTAAAACACAATTTTTTCTAAATTCAGAAATTCAGAAATTCTAAATTTTGAAATTCTAGAAATTCAGAAAAACAGAAATTATCAATGGAGCGCACTTACTGTCTCATCCTCCTGAACTCCTCGAAATTTGTCTGGAATTCTTAAAAATCGACAGAGCTCTTTGTAATATTTGGAACGGATTTCTTCGATTGCCGGACGCAGTTGGATTTTTTGATCGCTGAAAAACCGAAAATCGAGGAATCAAAGAGCCCGTAAATCGACACTTACACAAAAACTAGACTGACGGAAATTGTGGATAATTGAGATTGGATACTTTCGATTCCCCATTCGTATTGGATTAGAAGAGCCTGAAGATTTGAACAATTTGAAATTTTTAAAGAACTTTTGAAATTCTGAAAACCCTAAGAAAAATAGGAATTTCCGAATTGCTGGATTTTTGAATTTTCAGAATTCTAGAAATTTAGAATCTTAGAATTTTAGAATTTCTGTACATTTAGACTTTTCTGGAATTTTTAAAAAAATATCAGAATATTTGATTTCTAAGATTTTGAGATTCTGGAAACTTTTGAATTCCCGAATTTTTAATTTTCTGAATTGCTGGAACTTTGAATTTTCAAAATTTTGAATTTGTAGAATTCTAGAACTTTAGAATTTCTGAATTTCTGAACTTCTAATATTCTGATTCTCTGAACTTCTAAAATTCTGAATTTCCGAATTTCCGAATTTCTGATTTCCTGATTTCCTGAATTTCTGAGTTTCTGAATTTCTGAATTTCTGAATTTCTGAATTTCTGAATTTCTGAATTTCTGAATTTCTGAATTTCTGAATTTCTGAATTTCTGAATTTCTGAATTTCTGAATTTCTGAATTTCTGAATTTCTGAATTTCTGAATTTCTGAATTTCTGAATTTCTGAATTTCTGAATTTCTGAATTTCTGAATTTCTGAATTTCTGAATTTCTGAATTTCTGAATTTCTGAATTTCTGAAGTTCCGAATTTTTCAAAAACCTCGGACCAAAATTGTCTTCAAGGACCATATTTATTTTTGAGGCCCAAATTCTACAGTAGAGCCAAATCACCTTATACAATTGAAAATCCCAATGAATCAACCACGGCTTCATATTATTCCTCGCCGCTCCATGTACAACTTCTTCCTCCTTCATTTTCGATCGAATCTTCAGAATAATCTCTTTCCACTCATTATTCTGTTTCACAATATTCAAATCCATCAATTTCTCAACCATTTCTATCAATTCCATATGAACATTTCGCAACCGACGGTTTCGATTCGACAATTTTTGTTCGGCGGTTTGCAGTTGGACAATGAACTCTTCCAGTTGTTTTGGATCGTTCCATGTTACTTTCGAAGCCGAGTTGGAGGCATCCTTCCTTGGAATAACCAGTTTTTCAAATGCAATTGCTTCTTCCAGCATGAGAGACTGAAAATCAAATTGAAATAGCTTTTCTAGTTTTTGAGATATAAAATTTTCAAGTGGGTTGTCTTTCAACATGAATATCTCAAAAACTAGGATAGCTAGGTAAATTTTGTAAACTACAAAAATAAAGCCCATAAAATTTTAAACATTTTACTAGTTAGCGACTTTTTGATAGCTGTCTTAGTTTTTAAGATATGCGTCTACAAAGTAAAAGAAAGTTGGAACCAAAGAGAATCCAGAGCGCGCGCTTTCTAACTCGAATATCTCTGAAGCTAATATAACTAGTTAAAATGTGTTAAGTCTTAAAATATAGCTCTTAAAATTTCAAAAAATTTTGTAGTTGACAAATTTTTGCTAGCTATTGTAGTTTTTGAGATATAAACTTCCGAAACTAGGATGCACGTTTGTCCTGAGTCAGAGATGCTTAAACTTTGAAAGCGTATAACTCAAAAACTAAAAACTTGACCCAATTTTTCTAGATCATGGCTCAATTTTTTTAGGTCATGACCTAGATTTTACAGGTCATAGCCTAGATTTTTTTAGGTCATAGCCTAGATTTTTTTAGGTCATGACCTAATTTTTCTAGGTCACGACCTAGATTTCCCAGGTCATGACCTAAATTTCCCAGGTCATGACCTAGATTTTTTTAGGTCATGATCCAATTTTTCCATATTTTTGAAAAAAACAGCCGAAAATCCAAAAATTTCCAAAAGGTAAACTTTTCTTAAACGGACTCGCGGGACAAAAATGTGCCCTAACTTCGAAGCCTAATACTTCATGAACTAAAATAGTTAGCTGAATTTTTTTAGCAAATGCAATATAGTCTATAAAAATTTTATACATTTTAATAGCTGATAACTTTTTGTTAACTATTTTAGTTTTAGAGAAATGCGCTTCTAAAGCTAATCATGCTTACCTGTTGCGACGGAATCATCTGTTGATCGATGGTATTATAAAAATGAGCAATCTGTTTGAGGATAACACCAAATCGATAGTACTTCTCTCCATTGTTAGCGCATGACAGGATCTTCGATGGAATGTTGAATCCCAAACTGCTCAGTTGGCGGACTTCCTGGAAAAAAGAGATTACATGGCCTAGAAAAAAAGTTAGGCCATGCCTTCAACAATCTCAAAAGACGATCTGAATAGTTCACATTCAACTCTCGATTCGACGCTTCCAAATACATAATCTTTCCAGTCGTTTCTAGATTTATCGTCTCATTTTTATTATCAATCAACCCGACGGTTTCTCGACACCAATCATCGAAACACTCCTTCTCGGCATACTGTAGTTTTTCAATAAATTCATCCAGCTTTTGTGCGAATTGATTGTAGTTCGAGATATCGTTCAACATCATTTTCGACAGCGATCTGATACTTTCCATCTAAAGAAATTTAAAAAAAAAAGCTGTGTGTCTGTTTGTCCATATGTCCTTTACCTGACTTGTCTGCTGCCGAATCCAGACGATTCTCGCGGCGACTTCTGTGAGAAATTGAAAATTTTTAGCGTCGACTTGAAGAGATTTCTCGCTGAATTCCTGATTTTTCTGTGATAGCATTGATATCAAACGATTCAGGAACATTTCCCGCTCGTGTTGAAGTTTCTCCTTGATGTTGGCTCGGCACAGGAAGCTTTTCAGCTTTTCCAGGCTTAGAACGATCTGGAAACGATTATCTTGAAAACTAGAATAGCTAGCTGAAATTTGTAAACTATAAAAAAGTAGCTGATAAAATTTTGAAAGTTTTTGTAGTTGACAACATTTCGATAGCTTTTCTAGTTTTTGAGATATGCGCCTTTAAACGGAAAGAGAGACGCAGAAAACTGATGTGAGAGCGCGCGCAGTGAAGTAGGTCAAAATTTAAAAGCCTATAACTCAAGAGTTAAAATAGCTAGAAAAAAGTTGTAAACTAGAAAAATGTATATAATTTTATGGGCTACACTTTTGTAGTTTTTAAAATTTGACTAGCTATTCTAGTGTTTGAGATACGCGCTTTTGAAGTCGAAGAAAGACGCAGAGGTGCGATAGGGCGCGCAACAAAGTAGGTCAAACTTTAAACGCCTATAACTCGAGAAATGAAATAACTAGCAAAAAGTTAAAAATTAGTAAAATGTGTAAAATTTTGTGGGCTATATTTTGTTAGTTGACAACTTTTTAATAGCGTTTTTAGTTGTTGAGATATGCGTTTTGGCGCAGAGAGGCGGCAGAGCTTCAAAGTAGATAACAACGCGCTTCAAAGTAGATAACAATTTAAAAGTGTCTACATCTAAAACTAAAAACGCTAACTAAATTTT